TCTCACAAAGCTAAACAAACTTCGCAAAATTTGAACTCTATCCCCTAAAAATTAAAAGCTCCCACATCAATAAAGCTTTAATCTGTGGTAAACATATCTCCTGGCAGTCTATGGGGGAGGCCTATGTTCAGCAGTGGACTCAAACAGGCTGAAATTATGATGATGATGAAACATATCTCTATGTCTAGGCGGCTTTAGTACCTTGTCATTGTTTTATTTGGAGGTTATGTCGTAATTAAAACGCAATTAGAGGATATTTGTTCTTTTTTTATGTGAAAAGTTGCCAAGCGCGCATGCGGTTCACCTGATGTTAAGTGAATACCGCTACCCATGGACATCTGCTACACCCGAGGGTTGCAGATGCGTTGACAACCTTGAGAAAATTGGGCTCCGGCTACCTCACTCACCAGACGAAACGCGAAAGTATTATACTTCCACTTTACGTCGGTCTTCTGTGAGGTCGTGGTACTTACCCGGTAGAGCCTACCCATTCGTGCAACAGCCGCTGCTGCGTGGCCCTACCACCGTTAAATAAAATTAAGTTAATCAATTGTTACATTAATGTTAAAAATATTGGTCATAATTAAAATGTCCTTCAACAAAAGTATAAGGTTTTTAGAGTACTCAGAACTGTTAATATATTCGAGTTCGGTAAGTAAAATAGCAAGAACCGTGATAGCTCAGTGTCTGGGCGCTCGCCTTTAATTCAATTTATACTCGAGCAAGCCGAGTTCGATCTCCAGTGCCTGCACCGATGAAATTGTTAAGTGTGCTGAATTATCACGCTTGTTGGTGAACAAAAACACCGTGAGGAAACCTGCATATTTTCGAAATGATAAAAAAAATATTTCAAAAATATGTTGTGAAGTCCTCCAAACCGCAGTGGGGCCGCGTGGTGGACTGTGCCCTGATACCCTCTGTACAGAGGAGGACTTTGCCCATGTATAGGCTGATACTTTACTACTTTAATCAAAGTAGCAGCCTATCAGCACATGTCCCCCTGGGCATAACCAGGTAACGAAAACGTCTGGTCGCACCAATCACCGGGAAAAACTGTAAATGGGCGCGAAAAAATCGCCGGCCGCGTACCGATCTAATAGAGCTGTGGGTAAATTGCAGGAAAACTGTTTCGCGCGCACGAATCTACTATTTTTTCCGCGTCCGATTCTTTAGCCCCCGGTTTTTCTAGCGGTGTTTTGCTTCGGGTCTGACCGACGCCGTTTTTGCCGATTTCACCGGATACCGCTTCATTAGCCGTTCTCGTTGCGTTCGAGTTTTCGCGTTCGATTGCAATGCAGTGTACGAATAACATAATCGCGTACACACACGCATTGGTCAATAACGGATTTGAAGTATTAACAAGTCCGTATTTCCAGTCGACTCCATAAGAGGAGGTTCTCGATTCGACTGTATTCTTTTAATTTTCTTTTATGTTTGTTACCTCATAACTTTCGACTTGTTATTAACGAAAAACGAAACTTACTTTTTTTTTTTTATGCGAAAAGTTGTCAAACGAGCAGACGGTTCACCTGATGTTAAGTGAATACCGCCGCCCATGGACATCTGCTACACTCGAGGGTTACAGATGCGTTGACAACCTTTTGAAAATTGGGCTCCGGCTACCTCACTCATCAGACGAAACGCGAAAGTATTTATCATACTTCCACTTTACGCCAGTCTTCTGTGAGGTCGTGGTACTTACCCGGACGGACCTGCCCATTCGTGCAACAGCCGAGGCTGCTGAGTGGCCCTACCACCGTATCAATTATCTTCAATTATCTCGCTCTGTATTCCTTTTATAATTGATTTTCAGGAGTTCCCTAAGTATCTCCGGAGTCCAAGATCCAATACCAATGAAATTAATATGAGACCACATATGAGGGAAGTTGATTCACTCAGTCGAAAGTTCTGAGGTAACAAACATAAAAAAAATAATTCAGTCGAATTGAGAACCTACTCCTTTTTTGAAGTCGGTTGAAAACCATAAACGGATCAGTGTGTGACTGTTCTCCATTTTGTTTATTTATGACATTGTTAAAGGATTTTATCGCGGTTTATTTCTATTTCATATTCCCGTCGTTTCGAACGTAATGGCAGTTTCATTCATTTTTATTTTTATTTAAAACATGGTCCTTACTGTAGGATAAAATTATCCTGTTATTATTGTGTACAGATGCGTTGACAACCTTTTAAAAATTGGGCTCCGGCTACCTCACTCACCAGACGAAACGCGAAAGTATTTGTCATACTTCCCGTGAACATCCAGATTGGAAACAATTATGAGGGTTACACAAATAGTTATCCCGTGTGGGAATCGAGCCCACGACCGCATGCGCCGATGCCAATACATTGCTGCGTGGATGTAATGAATGAAATAATTTTCAAACTTATGTCAAACATCTGGGTTCGGCAGAAGAAGCTTTAATAGTCTCGGGACTGTAAGCAAAAACATCAGTTAATACAAGAAAGTCCGGCGCGTGACCATAAAAGGATAGAAACGTCGAGAAATTAAATTATTAAACAACCAGTAAACTATTTAAGTTCATAAGAGTCCGAACAAAAACCGGAAAGGGACGAAGCGGTCGATACTTTTATATAATATAGAGAAATAAAAACAGCGTAAATTCACAGCTATTCACTTGCGGAATTTATTCAGTCTAAATTTTCCAATAAACGGTTTCTACAATTGTATAGCAGCGAGTAATAAATAGAAATTTCGACCGATTCTGTGATCAGGAGTAAAATTATGAATTTAATTCTGATCCTTTCTATAGTGTTGTGTCCAACGAACTCTATAAAAATTCACATTTAGATCATACTGGCTGCTGCCCGCGACTACATCTGCGTAGAATAGGCTGAAGGCGAAACATTCAGACAGAGAGACAGATACACAAAAAATAGGTATATAAATTATAGCCAATGTCTTATTCTGATGTATAAGCTATATTATCGTAAAGTTTCATTAAAATCCATTCAGTAATATTTGCGTGAAAGAGTAACAAACATCCATCCATGTATACAAACTTTCGACTTTATAATTATTTATAAAGGCGAAAGTTTGTTTGTATTATTTTATTATTAGAGACATACTTTTCAGCGTGACGATGAAGGTTGAAACGGAATAAATATGTTTCCTAACGGGCACGTTGTTCTTACACGAATTAAATCCGATAACTTAATTTTTTTTTTAATTATGAATCTAAACCATTCTCGAATAACCTGAAGACACACAAAAAATCATTAAAATCAGTCCAACCGTGGAGGACTCCAGTGACAATACACGTACAGAAGAATTACATATATAACCAGCGACCCGCCCCGGCCTCACACGAGTGCAATGTATAATACATATATACCTCTTGAACCACTCTATCTAGTAAAAAAAAACCGTATCAAGATCCGTTGCGTAGTTTTAAAGATCTAAGCATACATAGGGACAGACAGACAACGGGACGACTTTGTTTTATACTACGTCGTGCCGATATGCATGTAAGAGATCGGGTTTATTTTTGACAATACAAACAGTTTCGATGAGGCACTAAGCTCGTACGGGACTAAAGGCGGACGGGAAGCACTCAATCTCGGTAAGTGCGGACTGGCGGGAGTGTGACCGGCGGACTAAAACAGGATATTCCCAACTGCTCGAGGCGGCGGCGTGTCGCGGGCCGCACTTTGTACCGTCGCCGCACGGATGCGAGCCCGTTGCGAAATACGGGACACGAGGCGTCTTGTGCTCGGATAATAAAATACAATTGTAATCTATCCGCGTACGTAGGCTGCCCTTAAAATTGTAATTAACAATTTTTTTGGTGCCGCCACGGACACTTGAGTATAATGAATGAATTATATATATTTTTTTTTTTCATTTCTACTATGCATCCAGATTGTCCGTGACTCACAATCGTGGGCGTCAGCTGAAAATCAGCGCTACCTTAAGCGTAGCTTCATGCTGAGCTGACTGCCTTTTGTTTGTCGCATACACCGACATTTTTATTTAATACCTACTAGCTTTTCACCCGCGCATTTTCTGGTGTTGAAGCCCCTCAATAAATATCTATCCCCTTAAGAATCCTTTATAACCATTTTTCCAATAAAAATAGCTTATGTCCTTTCTTAGGCTCTAGACTATCTGTGTACCAAATTTCAATTAAATCGGTTCAGTAGTTTTGGCGTGAAAGCGAGACAGACAGACAGACTTACTTTCGCATTTATAATATTAGTATGGATGTATGGATATCTATATATCTATAATCAATTACTTATTTTGTTCTCATATTATTTCGTCGTTTTTCTTTGTAAATGGTGTTTGTAGTAAATTTAATAAAGAATTTTCCAGAATAGAATATTCTAAAAGCGAGCGCCTGGACATTGAGCTTTAACAGCTGACTAACAGTTGTAACAGTTCCGCGGTGTAGGATAATATTGTGAAGAACCTTCGTATTTTCGAAATAATAACATAATATTAGAAGACGTGTGAAGTCTTCTAATGAGCAGTGGTCGCGTGACGGACTATGGCCAAGTAACTGTTAAAACGAGGCCTTTGCCCAGTAGTGGGAAATATAAAGGCTGTTATTTTAGTTTTTTTTTTTACTTTTTAACCGAGCATACTTTTACATATATGTATACCCCGGAGCACGATGCAATGACACATTTCAATTTATATTAAGAACAAGAAGATTTGTTAAGTGTTTCTTTGTCGAAGCTATGGATATTAAATATGATATTTAAAGTCACCTGCCTCAATATCGCGCTTTGTAAGTTTGTAAGATAGCATTGAATTAAGTCATTATTTAATATTGTAAACATTTATTGTTCAATAAATTTAAAGGGCGAAAAAAAAAATAATCAATATGAAAGAACGTGTCATACATGTTGATGTTAATAGATACTCGATAAAATACAACCCTTCATCAAACTGATACATGTGTAAACTTTTTTACATAATTTATCTTTATTAGTTATAGATTATAATGTAATTATTTAAGCATGTACATACACACATGCCTTTATGTCCGTGTCGCGTTAAAGTAAAAAAGACATCAAATACGATACGCTTGCGGTGAGTGAAACCTTATATTTAGAGAGAGATAAATGCTATTGCATAATAAGTAGATAAATTAATAACGTTTCAACAACAACACTATTATCAATGACACTGTTTCGTAAACGAAAAACTATTGTTCGGATTAATTTTGTCGTAAGTCAGTGTGGGCTTATTCTTACTACGTTTAATTATTAAGAGTTTGAAGTTTGGGTCATAGGTATAAAACAGAAGATAGTAAAGACATTAATCATATGCATGACATGTAATTAACTTCACAGGAAATGTCTCGAAATATTGTGGTATATCCAAAAGCAAAGTTTATTTATTCACCAACAGATGGCGTAATATGAAAGTAAAAAGATTTCACCCCATTTTCCACACAAACTTTTTAAACTGGGAAATGTTTTTTAAACTAACTTTTAAGGAGCTGCCGTAAGTACTAATATTTTAAGATGTTTTTCATGCATAATGAGAATGCAAAAATTTATGAGATAAAAGAAGTTATATGGATGAAATAAAACAAGATACACTATAAAAGTTATGAGACGGATTTTTGGATCTTAATCAGAGTATTTAGGATTCAAACAAGGAAATTACTAGAATTAACAATTTATCGAAATGTATAGCTCGTTAACGTTTATGTGATCTTGTGATTTTATTTCAGGTAAACTTAGGTCGCACAAGACTTTTTAGAACTATGGAAATTGTTATAGTTAAGTTTAAAAGTTAATAAGTGGTGAATATATGGTGAAAGATTAATATTATTAAATGCGGGAGGTAATTTATTATATTTTAAATTTAATTATGTATCTATTAGATACCTTAGTAAATTTGTACATTGGTAAATTTTACTGACTATTTGGTGTTCACATTTATGACAGATATTTATTGATATATTGACAGATGCTATGTTATGTATTTGTAACACAAATTTTATATAAATCATAGTTTTCTACATTTTCTTCATATAAACATTAACTATGCCAAATCTTATACTCCGTGTGCGGGCAATATTCTGTGAGATGTGATCGGAAATTTCATTTCACGTAATAATATGTACAAGCATTTATCAGCCGATCCCTGAATAAGACTTATGCCAAAATATTCTTTAAAATCCCATATCAATCCGAATTCTGGATTTTCATCCCACCTTGCGCGGAAATATGAAGAGCCTCCGACTTTGATTTAAATTATTCGATAAGTAAAATGTTCCAAGTTCAATCGTATTTCGGTTTAAGTATCGAATTAACCTTCGAAATAACACAGATAACAAATACACACCAAACAAAGGCGAGTTATATTTCTTGTTGATGGAAAAAATATAAAATGTTAATAAATTTTTAGAATTCGAACTTTAAAAACTGTTATAGTCACCGCTTGCATCACAATTATACCCGTTATAGATATTAGTTTAACTTAAATTGAGAACAGACCGACGCATCGGACCGTCTTTCCCAGTAAATGTTAAACTTTTTAAGTAGCGATGTCTCATCTTGCAAAACAAGTCGTGCCTTGATTGTTTTTTTTTTTTAAATAAAGAAGTACCTCCACAAATGACTGTGGCGTCGGCGAACGGCAATTTAGGAGCTGACAGCATTCTCAAATTTACCGTGAACACTAAATATCTTAATAAAACATTGATCGTATCGAACCCACGGTCATATTTGAAATAAGATATATGTGAAACCTTATATAAAGGACTAAAAAAATAAATAATGGTGGCAGACAAATATCGGTGTAGTCTGTTCTCGAAGTTGCACGAAATTACAAATATTCAAAGTTTTTATTTAACTACATAATATCAACGTACCTCTTTTAGGGATACCTTCTTAATGAAATCAAAATGATCTCATTTTAAGTTGTTTTGAATAAAAAAGCACACCGAAACACTGGGTTAATAGTAGAATGATAAATATTGGTATTATTTCATCTTACAATATTTAAGAACCAGTTTATAAAGTTTTTTACATATTATCTTAATCATTACTAAGATATTTTCATAATTAAATAATTGTTGTGTGGTGCCAGGTGTTTTTAGAACAACAAACAGTTTATCTACTAAGTTTAAAATCGTTACATAAACACTCATTTTTGTGTTTCGTCCTTGTGAGAAGTTTAAGCGGTATGAAAGCACGGTGACGACGATTCAGTAAATTCAGCGGCACCGGCAATTCTATTCAGTACAAAAGTGAGCCTAGCCCGTGGGGTCGTTGCTGGCGAAGCTTGAACAATTTCATTCATACGAGGAATCCATCACGAGTGGGCTAATACAGGAATCAAGGACCCGTGGCTTCGTTCAAGTTCGGCGACGTTTGCCGCGAACTTTTGAAGTCCGCGAGGAGAGTTGTGTCAGCTAGTGTTTGGCGGGAAGCGCTCGGCAGCAGATGGGCCCGCCACAAAAGAGATCGCGGGCACCTAACGAGCTCAATTGACGAGCGAACGGAAACGTGCCCAATTAGAAGGAGGCGGCGAGCGTCGCCCCCGCGCGCCGCATTAACCAGATTAGCGGAGCGGAGAGCGAGGTGTGGCGCGGCGGACACCTCGGCGCGCGGGAAAAAAGCGACGCGCGGCGCCGGGCGGCCCCGCCCCGCCGGGCGCAGCGGGGCGCCGGGGGGCGCTGGGGGGCGCCGCGCGCGCCATTGGCCGGGCGGGAGGGTGTCGCGAGCGGCGCCGCCGGCGGCCAGTCGCTTGACGCCTGCCGCGCGAGTGGCCGCACCGACTGTCGCGAGTGTCGCGCGCGTACGCGGGCCATGGTGCGTGCATGAGCGGGCGCTCGCGCGACCGCTGGAGCCCAAGGGCACGCCGGCCGTGGAGCGCGCGCCGTGGGCCCCGGGCGGCGCGGGCATGCGCTTCGAGGGCGCCGAGCGGCGCGACGCCGTGGCCTTCCACCCGCTGCTGGCGCCGCGCCCCAGCGACTTCTCCGTGTCGGCGCTGCTGACGGCGGGCGCGCTGCCGCCGCCGCCTTACCTGCCGGCGGCGCTCGCGGCCGCCGCAGCGCTGTCCGCGCCCTGTCCGCTGCTCAAGCCGCCGCCGCCGCCCTACGCGCCCCTGCCCCCCGACGACGACGGCGTCGTCGACGACCCCAAGGTCACGCTCGAGGGCAAGGACCTCTGGGAGAAGTTCCACAAGCTCGGCACCGAGATGGTGATCACCAAGAGCGGCAGGTCAGTACGGCCCCCAACCCCGCGAGGTGTGACCGTGCGTTGCCCGCGTGATACAAGTGCTGTGTGTGTTGGCGAATTGCGTTCGATAGTTTTAACGGCGCGGTAAGTGGAGATAGAGGCAGACGAAACGGTGTAGGGCAATGTTGTTTCCGTTACGAGCCGCCGCGCCGCGAACCGCTCCACGCGTTGTTTGACAACACAACCGACTACGTTTGACCGATTAATGTTGTTTTACATTCTCCGCGGCGAATCCGATAACGCATAGAGATAATACATCTAATTTGAGCCATCTGTAACATAAAATGTTCCGGTCAAACCGGTAGATGTTGAGTAAACTGGAAACATCAAAATAACTTGCGCCTAAACGGTTATAAATCTAGTTCGCATCAAGCTTGAAAATGGTCATTCATTTAAATTTAAATTTTCAAATGTTTATATATATATATAAGAAATACGCGATAAATCTTATTAGGATTGAATGTTTTGGTGTTATCTTTAACATTCTTATTTTTTATCTAAACTTTATTTATTTCAAATTGCTGACACTATCATTTAGATAGTCTAACAAATATAACAGGATAACAGGTCTAGTAAATTATTCTTTATATAGTGCACTATGACTATAATAACTATGTAAGTGTGGTTTCAGTAGCATTGATTATCTTTTATTTTTTTAAAACGCGTAAAAGGGTTGTCGCCCGCGACATAGGCATATTTTTTGTTGAAAATATCACTCCCGACGGCAAACGGCGTGCAATTAATTGTGCCACACTTCGGTTCACTTTGTAAGTCGTTAAAACATTAACATATTTTTATTAAAAATGCATTTAAAATAAAACTGAAAAACTTTTACTTCTTGAAACTTTATCTAATACTGTGATAAATCAAAAATAATACCTTTTTTAAAGCGCTCCAATCCTATTTATTTAATGAACGTTTAAAAAAAGTAAAAATATTATAAGTAAATTCTGTAAGCACTTAGTTTTGCGTCAAAATGCCGTGTTAAATTAAAGCACTGATTGGAAGTGCAGCACATAAGTTAAAGTAACTTTTAAAAAATAATGCATGAATCGTGACCCAAGCTTAAAAATATTTGTATTTTATAAACACGCTTTCATACTTTTAGTGTATAGCTTATTCCCTTTTGTTTATTTTTGACATGATATTCGCTAAATGTTTATGTGCTTGAGAGGATCTAACGTTTTATGTTAGCAGCGTTTTTACTGCCGACGTTATACAATCGGCGATGTAACATCAAAGTTTTACGATCGGATTGATACCACTCCATTTGTAGAAAACATGCAGTTAAAAATGAATATGGCCACGCAAATACCTTGTACAATATATACATTGTACAAGGTATTTGTATAAAATATATTAGGCAGGTATTAGGCAGGTATTTGTATAAATATACTTGCCTAATACTATTAAAGAATGGCAGAACTGTTTTGGTGTGTAACACATAAAACTTTATCAACAATAAAAGCTAAATCCGATTAAACTTGTGGCTATAATGTTTAGAAAAAAATAATTGAAAAGAGAGATAAAAAACTTGCACCTCAATTATTTATATAAAAAAAAAAGAATGCGCATGTTAATACAAAGAAAATAACTATTGATCTTTTATTGTTTTGGGTTTTTATTACAATATCCCTGTAATAAGAGGGACGATACAATCAATTACTTTATTTGTAATTTATGATTCCTCCAACATTTAAACGTTAATGGAGAAGCTTTAACGCCGACATGTTCATCAAGTCAATCGCGGTATTGATTATCAAAGAAGAAGCCAATATTCCAAAGCTGCGTTCTTAAATTAAATAAGCTATATAAAGAGTTTAACAAACCTTTAGCCTTTGTATCTAATCATTTGGGCCATTCACCGTTTCTCTTCAAACATACTGAAGCAATTCTTGTGACAAGTCTAGTCGATAAACAAAATTGACTTCGAGGTGTGTCCTTCGATATAGAAGACTCTTGAGGGCCCACCAAGGGCGAATTTTCGAGAGTAACACTCAAACATCAAAGCGCGGCGGCTGCGTTTTTTTTTTTTTTAAGAAAACTCCGAAGTGTAGAAGGAAATCTGCTAGAAGGGATTTTCGAGCGAGGCGCCATTCGACTCACCCGAAACGTTTATAAATGTTTTCTTTTTCGCCGCGTTGTTACGGAACTTTTGTCCTCGAACACCGCGCACTTTTGTTCTTTTGGAGATAGGGCAATTGTGTGTTTAATTTTAATTTACGCGCGAATCGCGTGACGCAGCCTCTGTGTGTTTATTTGTGCGTAGGAGTCAAGCTGAAACGTTTTAATGTGTACGAATTAAATCCTTTGCGCTTTTACTTCACAAAGGGGCTACATACTTTCACAAAACAAATGTTACACGAAATATATCTCTGACACGCTTTTTATATCAACTCTACACTGCTCAAACAATATCTACGTTAAATATTATACACGTAATTTCCTCTTTAGTACTACGTTCATAATAAAAATTATTATATTATCTTAATTCATTCATCGTTTCAAATTAGCATAAGTAAGAGTTCTTTTTGAAGGTAAGTATAATGAATTTAACAATTATAACCAGTCAATTAGTCTCTAATAAATATATACTGGATTCTAATTTAGATGTAGGCTTGCCTTACAATTTATAATTTGGATGGAGTAAAATAAATTTAATTGGAAATTATTTTAAAGATTTCTAAATAAATGTAAAGTTAATGTTTTGTAACACACACTTAATTACAGTATCAATTACTCGATAGTAATAAGTTTTTTCTTAATTTGAGATTTAGTAACGAAATACAAAAGTAGGAACTGATTATATTATCAAAAAATTTTTGACTTTAGTCAACAATTTAAAACCAAAAATGTGTTCGAGCAATGCATTTTATCAAATTTTTCAATGTGTATAAATGAATAGTTATTTTTCCTTTTAACTGCAATACTAAAGGATTTTAACTGTAGTTGCCTTTGCCTTTAAATCCTTACCTTACTTAAGAACTCGTTATTTTTTAGTTTAAAACATATTGTACATTAGAGAGTTAATTTATAAAGAAAGTAAATAAATAAAATATACTCTGTCTATAATCTTACATGTTTGTGTTACTTTATTTTGTATTTTTGTACTTTTTCATTCGTTTTAAACACGCACCTGGACATATTACCAGCTGTGATTGTGATTGACAAAAGATTATCGCAAATTAAAACGTAAACTGTTACGCAATATATTAACGAACAACATAATATTTGATCTATTCTCTTTCTTTTAATTATAAAATATTTTTTTCATTTAGTTATAAAAAAGACACGACTTAAATAAATAAGAAATTTATCCTGCACATAGTTGTTAAATGTATGTTTATGTATGTTTAATAGGATTTAATACTTTTTAAATTTAAGACATTTGAACACTTTAAAAGTCCGTTAATACGGGATTTTATCGGGTGTCTGTATTCTAAGAAACGTGGGACATTTAAAATAGTGTTAGATGCAATAAAGTCTAGAAAATAATTTTATTTGTCAATTCGCATAACACGAAATTATTCATAGAAATGAATTTATATACGTTAAATATATTTTTCACTTTTAAAAAATAATGATGATTTTTGATTTCAATTATTTCGTTTTCTTCGTGTATCGAAAATCTTGTAGTTCTATATTTCCTGTAAAAGTTAAAATTAACTGACAAATTTTTAACCCGCGCTGCTCAGAGATTTTTTTTTCTTATGTAAAAAATTGCCAACCGAGCAGACGGTTCACCTGATGTTAAGTGAATACCGCCGCCCATGGACATCTACTACATCCGAGGCTTGCAGATGCGTTGATAACTTTTGAAAATTGGGTTCCGGCTACCTCACTCACCAGACGAAACGCGAAAGTATTATACTTGAATTTTACGCTGGTCTTCTGTGAGGTCGTGGTACTTAGCCGGAAGGGCCTGCCCGTTCGTGCAACAACAGTGAGTTCCACAAGACCCACAAATGTATTAGACTAAGCGACTGAGCTTTGCAAATAAACTAATTAACCGTTAATTAAACTACGTGTGACCTCCTCAGTACGTCGAAAACTTATAAGAAACTTACATTCGACTGAAAAAACGTTAAAACTACTTTTTGTTATTATTTATTTTTTATTCTTATACTTCTTATATTTTTATTCGTATAGTTCCATTTTTCTTAGAAATAAAGTAATAGTATGTGTTTATAATGTATTTTTCAACAAATAATTCCGTAGTTAAATATAATTCGTACAATATCCTACAAATCTTCAACATAAAATAATCATTCTTTGTACTGGAACTATAGCTAAGTTTAGGCTTACGGTCTTTGCCGATATTGCTATTTTAATAATAATTGCAACATTTGTTGTAAAGTAAGATTCCACCTCGCGATCTCACTGCGATTTGGCAGAATTCAATTTTTGTTTTTGTTAATATTTCGAAAATATGCAGGTTTCCTTACGATGTTTTCCATCAGCGCTGAGTTTCGTAATAGGCAACGTAACTTTTTAACTTGTCTACTAATACAAGTTCCTTTGGTTTTTAACATTTTAATAATATTTTTTAACATAAGATATTAATATAGAAAGTAGGTAGGTACTGCTCGAGGAAAATTCAACATTTGGATTACATTAACTTTATTGTAGTATCCGTCTAATTTCTAATTTTCTTACTATCTAGTAAGGAATGTTGATAATTATAATGGCTTAAATGAAACCTATCCTATCCTAACCTACATTTAGAGCACAAGAAGAAGAATGGGATCCCCTTTACGTTGGGAGCAATACCATTGTTAAGGCTTAGTTGCCGACGTTTTACGGTGGTAGGGCCACGCAGCAGCCTCGGCTGTTGCACGAATGGGCAGGCCCGTCCGGGTACCACGACCTCACAGAAGACCAGCGTAAAGTGGAAGTATAACAAATACTTTCGCGTTTCGTCTGGTGAGCTACCTCAGCCGGAGCACAATTTTCAAAAGTTTGTCAACACATCTGTAACCCTCGGGTTGGCAGATGTCCACGGGCGGCGGTATCACTTAACATCAGGTGAACTGCCTGCTCGTGTGACAACTTTTCGCATAAAAAAAAAACGTAAGCCTCCCAAAG